TTAACTTGTTCATCTTTTCTAATCATACTTAGCAAGACCTCCAGAACTGAGATAAACAGCAGAGGGGACAGTGGACACCCTTGCCTGGTTCCCTTCTCAATTCTAATTTCCTCTGAAACCACATTATTTACAATAATTTTAGCTTTTTGTTCTCGATAGCTTGCTTTAATACCATTTATAAAATCATGACCTATCCCCATACTCTCTAAGTTATGTAACATAAAACTCCAAGAAACATTGTCGAAGGCTTTCTCAGCATCGATAAACATTAGCATTGCTTTACAACTCTTTCTTGCTTCTAACTTTTCCAAAATATCCACAACATTTCTAATATTGTCTTTCATATGTCTTCCAGGCAGAAATCCTGCCTGGTCTTTATGAATATACTCAGATAAAACCTTTTTTAGGCTATTAGCCAGTATATTTGCAAAAATTTTATAATCCACATTAAGTAGGGAGATTGGTCTGTAGTTTTTAACGTTGGATCTATCCTGACCCTGTTTAGGAATCAGAGTAATGTACGCTTTTTTCCAGGTTTCAGGTGCTCCCCCCCCCCCCCGTAAAATTGAATTAGATATTTCTACGAGAGGTTGTATAAGCCAATCTTTCAATGTCTTATAATATTTCGCTGATAGACCATCAGGTCCTGGTGTCTTGCCAAGTTGCATTGAATTTATTGCATGTTAACATGCAACATGCAATAAATATTCTAGGAAGTAAACAATCATGCAGAATAGGAAAGAAAGGAATAATCACAACTTATACTGCCCTATTCTCTGTCTATTCATGACACCACACCTCTTTCATCACCTGTGCTCGCTTCATACCTGATGATGCACACACAGTTGATCCACACCTGAGTAGATTTCCCAGAAACAGAAGGAATTTATGCACAATGAAATGTCATGCTTCGAAAGCGGAGTCATTGTTCAGCCCACAAAGAACAACAGACAGCCTGGTTTCTGGGTGTATTTGCTATTTATGTTTCATGCAGTTGGGAAGGTAAAAGAATCCGTTCAGTTGAACTTGGGCAGCTCCATACATTTAAAGCACATCCAGCACATGCTGAAGCACATGGTTTCCCTCAAAACTTCCTGGGAACCTTAGTTTGTTGGAGGTGCTGAAAGTTCTGGTTCTGTAATGGAGAAACTACAGTTCTTAGGATTCTTTGAGGGAACTCAAGTGGTTTACCGTATTTTTCGCACCATAGGGCGCACTGGACCATAGGGCGCACCCAGTTTTTAGGGGGGGAAATCAAGAAAAAAAATATTTCCCCCCCCCCAGCCCCAAAGAGCAGCGTACAGGCTGCACACAACCTCTCCCTGCCAGAGGGGTTGCTCGCAGCTATGGAAGAAGGCAAGGCAGCGAGCGGGATCCATCCCGCTCGCTGTTTTGGCTTCCCCTTTAGCCCCCTGCAGCCTCTCCTTGCCGGAGGGGTTGCGCGCAGCTATGGAAGAAGGCAAGGCAGCGAGCGGGATGGATCCCGCTCGCTGTTTTGGCTTCCCCTTTAGCCCTGTGCAGCCTCTCCTTGCCGGAAGACGCTGCGCAGGACTAAAGAAGCCATAGCCCCGTGCAGCCTCTCCCTGCCGGAGGGGTTGCGCGCGGCTATGGCACAAGCATGCATTCGCTCCATAGGACGCACACACATTTCCCCTCAATTTTTGGAGGGGAAAAACTGCGTCCAATAGAGCGAAAAATACGGTAAATATATGTTGGATGAGCAGATGGAATTCTTTGCTTTGACCTATAATCATAGAATTATAGAATCTTAGAGCTGGAAGGGATCCAGGGGTCATCTAGTCCAACCCCCTGCAATGCAGGAATCTCAGTTAAAGCATCCATGACAGATGGCCATCCAACCTCTGCTTCAAAACCTCCAAGGAAGGAGAGTCCACCACCTCCCATGGGAGTCTGTTCCACTGCCAAACAGCTCTTACTGTCAGAAAGTTTTCCTGGTGTTTAGTCAGAATCTTTTTTCCTGTCACTTGAAGCCATTGGTTCGAGTCCTACCCTCCATAGCAGGAGAAAACAAGCTTGCTCCCTCCTCCATGTGACAGCCCTTAAGATATTTGAAGATGGCCATCATATCTCCTCTCAGTCTCCTCTTTTCCAGGCTAAACATACCCAGCTCCTTCAACCATTTCTTATTAGGCTTGATTTCCAGATCCTTGATCATCTTGGTTGTCCTCCTCTGCACATGTTCCAACTTGTCAATATCCTTCTTAAATTGTGGTGCCCAGAATTGGACACAGTATTCCAGGTGTGGTCTGACCAAGGCAGAATATGACTTCCCTTGATCTGGACACTATACTTGATTAGGTTGGTGGGTCAGTGCCCCATTCCCCCTAGTGGACCAGTCCCCACTATATTAATCTGCATTTATTCTATATAAAATGCTATATTTGCTATCTTCCAACACCTGGCTGAATGCTAAGTGCAATTTACACAGCAGTGTTTAAAACAGTTTTTGTATTAGATGGTAGCTCCCTCTGGTGGTGTTTTAGGTGTGTAAATCAGAGCAGTTGCAAGGATTAAATTTGCAACAGGCAGCTGCCTTCTGTTAAGTGCAAAGCAAATTTAGATGTTCTGTTACTTAGCTGTGTGGTATCAGTGGAGTACAGAGGTCCTGGCCCAAGCAAATAACCAGAAAGAGGGAGAGAGAGTCTTTTGAGGAGCAACGTAAGTTGGAGAACCACGGGGATGTCAGACAATTTCTATGAAAACAGGCATGGGAGCAGAAATTGCCAGGGTTTGCTTATTTGTCTCATGTCTAGAACAGAAATTAATCCAGCATTTGCTGCTGCTTTTTTCTTCCCGCAAATTTTATGTTAACAGTGACACCCACTCACTCCTATTTCCACTGTCTTTCCTTTGGATTGAAACAAATGGCATGTGCATTTAAATGAATGGTGTTGATAATAATAATAATGATGATGATGATGATGATGAATGGTGTTGATATAATAATAATAATAATAATAATAATAGTGTAATTAGCTGCATAAATTCTGGCACATCACTAATAACTTTGTTTTTGTCAGAAGACAAACTGCAGCAGAATGGAAATAGTGTTGCATGCATGGGTTAGAATGGAAACCAGTGCCTTCTTACAGCCCTATTGAACCCCAAGCCATGCTTCAGTTCTCTCCTCACTGACCACAGACTGTAGCCAAGGTCTGCTCTTCATCATAGCTCATGGTTGATGAGGAGAGACCTTCAACATGCTAAACTAAACCTGTTGGAGTAACTAAAATTAGGGAAGGGATTGATTTCTTTCATAAGCATTAAAAAGCCCATGGATGAGCTAATACAAGTTCCTGTTCAGCCACGACAGTTGCTACAGCAATGGCCCAGTGCCAATTATATATGTGATTAAGGCATGCCAGCTCATTAGTCAGTCTTGTTGGTCTGTCTGAGGTCAGTGAGTGAATGAGTCTGTCTGTGAATCAGAGTCTGTGTTACACATTGAATTGCTGGAGCAACAGAGATACTTTGTACTTGTGTGTGTGTATCTATCTATCTATCTATCATCTATCTATCTATCATCTATCATCTATCTATCTATCTTTGCAAAAGCCTACAAGCTTCTACACCCAGAACTGTTTTACTGAGCCTTACCTTCTGCAGCGCTAAAGTATTTTGGACCTTACTCTGCTTCTTTGTGTTGACTGAAACTAGGACAACTTCCACCATGTGGGTATCTCTCACCTCAAATTCCCAACGAAACCGTAGCTTAGCTCAGCTTGAGATGGGAGGGGCAAAGTGGGAGCCCACACATTTGTGTGATCACACCAAGCCATAGTTTGACTTACTGCTGTGGCAGGAAAGTAAACAGAGTTTCCATGTACTCTGGCACTTGTCATGGTCCTCCATGCACCAGGAGCGATTTAGTCATGTTGACCACATGACCCGGAAAGCTGGCTGCAGACAAATGCCAGCTCCCTTGGCCTGAAAAGCAAGATGAGCACCACAACCCCATAGTCATCTTTGACTAGACTTAACCATCCAGAGGTCCTTTACGCTTTTTTACCTTTTACATGCACTTGTTCATAGTTGCCATTTGAAATTGATGCCATAGAAATCTTATCAGTTCTTGAGCCAAACACAATTCTTCCTTCACACAATTGCTCTGTGTTGACTCCTTGTCCTGACATATAACTGTTTCATCATTGGTCCTCTATATCACACCCTCATTCTAAGATGTAGGCTAGCTTTATTCCTGTCATTTTTTCATTGATGGTTCAACTCTTTGTTGTAATTATTCTTGAAATGGTTGATTATGAAAATGTTGTAAAATAGTGATCATTGTTTTGCCCTCTTGTCCAATTCATTGGCTTATTTAAAGGTAATGCTGTTATGAGAACAACCCACAGAGTAGCTTGTGCATCTCTCCTTCCCTGCTCCTCCATGATGACCATTAGAGTGACTAAACCTGGCAAACTATGGTTAATCTTATCTATGGTTGGTGGAAACAAGCCAACTTCAGACTAGGGTTTAATGAAGTTTGCTTGTTCGAATCAGCCATGGTTAAGACCAGCAATAGTTTAGGATTCAGGTGCCACTCTCAATTTTAGTTAGTCTAAAATAGAAACAGAGCCTTCTGATCTCCTCCTCCTGGCCACTAGAAGAGTGGATTGAGCAGCACGCAAGCCCAGAGCTCTCTGAGGCTCATTGTTGTAATGCTCAACCAGGGCTTGGCTGCTAAACTTTAGCATTATATCCAAACAATTAGCAATTAGATAGCAATTAGAGGCTATCAAGTGTCTTTATGCTGGGTACAGAAAAATCCAGAAATCAATGAACTCCTGTTAGCATTTGCTCAAAGCTGAAGTCAATGCCCCAGAGCTTTTACCAAGTAAAGAAAACTAACATAGAAAGGTGGAGAGGTATCAAGAACCATGATTCAAAGGTTTTGGCTTATACCTGCCACTCCTTTTTTAGTTGCCTTTAAAGCTAGCTTATTTTCTTAATCATAATATTTTGGATAGGAACAAGCTATGATGGCTCTGGAAAATAAGTATAGCAACAAAATGAAGAACTTGCGAGCTCAGCTGGAGGCCTATCAAGAGACAGTAGACAAGAAAAACCAGTACTGGCAAGACACAACAAAGGTAAAAAGGAAAATACTGTCACCTTGAATGGATGGGATACAACTTTCCCCCTAAAACTTTATGAGGCTATATGAACAATATTCAGGACTAGTAGATCAGCAATCTGCAATTTCACATTTGCCCTTTAAGTTTATAAATAAAGGGCAAATGTGCTATTGCAGATTGCTGATCTACTAGTCTCTTTATTAAGGAAGTAAAAGGTAAGCTACTTTGCACAAAAATATTTTCATTTCTTATGGGCCGTGAAGATCCTGTGAGGTTTGCCATCATCACAACTTCACAGGCATGAACTTGTGACCCAATATTTGCAGATGTGCAAAAAATCATTTGAAAGAAACCATGGTGGTCGGGGGCGGGGAGACAGCCCAATGAATCCAGAGTGTGCTCTGTGGCCATGGAATGTTGACTGGCTATTGCTGGGAGGGCGAGACAGAAAACACTGGGAGAGGAGGAGAAACTGAATGGGGGGGTGGCTGGAGTCCTATGGAGAAGCTATTATTCGATCTGTAATGATGATGATGATGATTCTGGATGGCTTCCAGCAGAATACAAAAACATAATAAAACATCAGATGCTAAAACCTTCCCAATACAGGGCTGCCTTCAGGTGTCTTCTAAAAATTGTGTAGATCTTTTTCTCCTTGACATCTGATGGGAGGGTGTTCCACAGGGAGGGTGCTATTGCCAAGAAGCCCCTCTGCCTGGGTCCCTGTAACTTCACTTTTCACTGTGAGGGAACCAGCAGAAGGCCCTTGGGCTTGGACCTCAGGCTGAATGAGCGGAGACGCTCCTCCAGGTACACTGCAACCTTTTGTTATAGGTTCCATTTCTACAGTACGATTACTGTAGCAATTAGAGCAAGCAAACAGGTTTCTCTATTTGCCCGTCTGGTTAAGATAATAGTCTCATTTCTGTATAATTATACACCCAGAAACTGAAGGAAGAAAATAGAATACTGAGACAAGAGAAAGAAGAGCTGGCAAATCAGATCACACTGCAGAAGGAAAAATGGGGTGATGAAAAGGTAACTCAGAAGTAGTTTGGAGTAATTTGACTTTATAAAATCCAACCGAAATTGTATAAAGTTTTCTCCTTTTTTGACTAGCAAATTTAAACAGATGTCTGCACACATAGATTATGTAATTAGGACTTGTAAATTAAATTAATGGTCCTTAGATTAGTCCACTGGCATTGCATTTTCTGATTTCAACCAAAGTCATGTTCTCTCTGCTTTGAGGATCAGGTGAATAAATTCATGGATCCCTGCCAAATCTAGTACTTTCCTGGTCACAGTGGAGCTGACCCATGGGAAGCATGCCTGCCTAAATGCACCTAGTTAATCTGAGATGCCTGCACAATATAGCAGTTGCACTGAAGCAACAGATAACAGATGAATCATGGTAAAATGCAATCCTACAACATCAGAGCAGGCTAACGAGGTCCACCATAAGCTCAGGTGAATAAAAAAAAATGTCTTGAGCTGGCAAGAGAAGCAGTTGATGCCAATAGCAGGAGGGGGTGTCGGGCAAGTTGGCATTTTTTGATTAAATGCTTACCAAAAAATGCATATTTTGTGAAAAATATGTTCAAATATGTGAATTTCCATAGAGGGTTTTTTTTAAAAAAAACAAGCAGATAGAGTTTAATTTGGAATTTGGTCAGAACAAAGTAATGAATAAACCTGTGAAAGTGACACGTACTGTAAATAGGCAGATCCCTGCACCTCCAGGGCCAATGTTTGACCTTCAGCCTAGCAGCCATCATCATTCTCTGGGGCTCTGCAGGAGAAGCACATAGCACTGCTCTTCTCCTCACTTAAAGTGTGTATTATTTGCAAAGCAGTATTATAAGTGATTTATCTTAAAGCCCATCCTGCCCTGCAGCTTCAGAGCAGGTTACATCAGAACTAGAACTTCCAGGATTTAAAACTAACCTTTAGTAATATGTTGTTCTATTTTTCCATGGTGTTTTCTTGTGTTGGTTTTCAGTGTTATTTTTGTTTTAATACATACCATTGTACTATATTTTGTAAACTATTTAACTGTGAAATGAAGGAAAATATATAAATATTTTAATAATAAATTAAAAACCCACAATATATATGAGACATTCTTCTATTGATCTGCAAAAGAATTGAAAATTGAACAGTTATGATCTTTTGCAGGCTTGGCTGCTCAGGAGCACTACTCAAAAGCTTGACTGCCTGCATAACCAGCACACCTTAAGTAAGTCTTTCCCTTCAAAAGAATGACTGCTTGAATGAATTATAGACAACGTGCCCTTTATTTCTTCCTTGCATTTCATTTGTAGCTCCAAACTAATGTCTCTTGCTCAATGGGAAGTCTCTCAGTGGACTTTTAATCATGTCATAATTGAAAAATTGAGTTGACAAAAGGACTCCTACAATGTCCAAAGCACAAGGTTTCATTTATCACATTTTAGAAGCCCTGGTTGATAACTGAGCATGCAAACTATGCTGCAGCCGCCGCCGCCCCAAATGCTGTCTTTCACATGCTTGTGTGCATCGCAAAGCCCAAACCAGACAATATACCACTTGCTCTTTGTGTGAATGGTGTTGGATCATAGTTCTATTTGCTATGATAGAAGCTACAGGCAAGTAAGTGTACAACTCTGGAGAATTATTCAAAATTATTATTACAATTCTTTTGTTAGAACTGTTTTCCCCCCCTTTAGAAGTTATCTTTGTTGTTGTTACATTCTCCTATTCACCCCCCTCCCAGCTATTGAAGAACTTCAGAGGAGTAGAGTAAACCTTGAAAAAGTGGAGAAAATTGTAGATTTTCAAATGGACTTACCCTGTGATCAACGAAGAGCATTAATTATATCGGATGAGGTAAACTTCTTTGTGTTGCAGATGATGAAATAGAAAAAATGGTCAGTTTTTCTGTTTTGAAAATAAGTTCCTTTTACATATTTGATCCATTTATAAATCACTTAACTGGGAGAGAGATGGGTTAGAGTGTTTTCTGTAGCAGCAGAACTCAATTGCAGATGATTTGGGAGTGTTCTAAAATATATGAGTTTAATGTGGGCTGATTATGGATTCAGTTTGCAAACTTCACCAAGCTCACTTTCTGTTTTGTTCACCCAAATCTGATTGAAATCAGGGGAGAAAAACAGCAGATGTTATGTCAAATATTCCTTTGGAGGCAAAATTCCATTCTGCAGTGCCAACAGTTATACTAGCAGTGAATGGAAATGTTCTTTTGGTTGCAAAACGGGTGTGATTAAACTGGAATGTATAAAAAAGCAAATTTCTTTCAGATAACAGAAAAAGGAATCACAGACCATAATGCGGGGGTGGAAAAGTCTAATGTCACAACACAGGAGTCAGAGACGACAGAGCTTGCTCAGAGGTCTACATCTGTTGTGGTAAGCCTTCCATCCACTTTCCTTTTGCCAGAACATATTAAATCACAGATATGCATGGCAATATGGTTGGTGCAGGAGTAATAAACTTGCTGCTTGTCACTTCTGTTGCTCTTGTTGCTTCAAGAGCCTGGACCTCATATCTGCTAGGTGAAGTACAGCACATTGGAGTGCTCAACCTTCAAAAATGGGATTCATACGGGAGTTAAAACTGCAGTGTCATGGGTAAAATCTGAAAAAAGCAAGTCCAGCTCAAGCACCACAGCAAAAAGATTCTGGTCTCATTAACCAAAGAGATTCTGGTCCCAGTGATAATCTCTGCAGGGCGGAGGAGTGTCGTGGGTGCCCTTCTCCCATGAACAGGGCAGCCCGCAGGGTTTCTGAGTCATCTTAGTTTAGATTCACAGAAGAGCAGTGGTGCAGGGCCACCACTCCATGAAGCCTATTGCTGTGAGGGATCCAGAAATCCTGACACTGCTCATTCAGCCACTTCTGGAAGCACTGGTTCAGAGGCGGCGACTTGGGCCACAGATCATGGGTGTCCAGCAGTGCTGATGTAACACGTTGTCATGGTGTCAGATTACATCGCTCCTGGAAGTGGCATCAGAGGTCCTGCAAGGCCTAGGACGCCACTTTCAAGGCCCCGCGAGACCTCAGGTGGGACGTCCAGGACCTCATGAGGAATCAGAGGTCCCATCCGAGGCCTTGTAGGGCCTTGAAAGTGGAAAGTGTAGGCCTCATGCGGACTCTGCCTGAGGCCTACAGTTCTGCATGAGGAACCAGAAGTGGCACTGGAGGATCTGCAAGGCCTAGGACGCCACTTCCAAGGGCCTCGGATGGGACCTGGAAGTCACATCCAAGACCCCACAAAATGTGTGCTGGGCATACACAATTATGTTTTTGTGGCTGCCTGGGCCCCCAGGGCCCCCTCAAGTTGGTGTCAGTGCGCTGGTTCTAGTAGCTGGGACCCATTTTCCCACACCTGTTGCTGCAGATCATATCTGCCCGAGAGCGGGTGGCGCTGTGGTCTAAACCACTGAGCCTCTTGGGCTTGCTGATCAGAAAGTCAATGGTTTGATTCCCTGCGACGGGGTGAGCTCCCATTGCTCTGTCCCAGCTCCTGCCAACCTAGCAGTTCAAAAACATGCCAGTGCAAGTAGATAAATAGGTACTGCTGTGACAGGAAGGTAAACGGTGTTTCTATGCACTCGGGCTTCTGTCACAGTGTTCAGTTGTGCCAGAAGCGGTTTAGTCATGCTGGCCGCATGACCTGGAAAGCTGTCTGTGAACAAATGCTGCTCCCTCAGCTTGAAAGCGAGATGAGCGTGGCAACCCCATAGTTGCCTTGGACTGGACTTAACCGTCCAGGGGTCCTTTACCTTCTTCTTTTTTTTAACCAGTAATGAAACAGATTTGGGAGGACAGGAGGGCGGCTTCACCAGACTTTCTCTTTAGACAAATAGGCTCAGCGTATTGATACGAGTCTCCTCTTTTCAGGCCAAGCAATGGATATTTGGGTCCCATCAGGGATTTTGGCTGGGGATCTGTGCTGTGCCTAATCAGTGATGTTGCTGGCACTATGCAGAGATCTTGACTGCGCTCAGGCAGCCACATTCCAGACTGCCCTTCAGATAGCTCTGGTGCCAGGAGCCAGGACTCAGATTTAGGAAAATGTAGTACCCTTAAAACAGAAGTACTTTCTTCCAGGCAGGAATATATTTGGATTTCACACAAATAATAAGCTCCAACTCTTTATTTATTGCACTGTACACCTGAAAATCTGGGAAAGCCCTGAGAGAGAGCAGTCAAAGAAAGAGCTACTTCAGATTACAATAGTGTGTGGTTTATTTCATTTCCTTCTAAACAAGGTTTAGAAGGTTTAGAAGGTTCAGTGTAGTTTCAGCCTGTCTTGGTAATTTAGATACATTGTCGCACATTATGCTAGGTACAGCACTTCACTTGTCTGAGATGGTGATCAAGATTTGTTCCTCTCCCTCAGGTGGAGATGGAGGAAGCGCATAATGGTTTGCCACAAAAGAAACTTCTGTTGGAAGTGAAAGCCACCTTGGAGCTGGTCAAAGGGTCTTTACAGAAACGGGAGACAGAGATCAGTGACCTTCTGCAAAATGGACATTGGTGTAACTCTGAAATTACAGATATGTTGTTGACAGAGTCTACTGTATATTAGCTAGTGAAGATACATTTGCTTAGTTAAGACACAGACCAGATATGGGCTGATGCTTCTATCCTAAATGCTCTTTGGACTAGGATTTAGTTTACACTGTCTGTCTCTAATAGTGAGCAAAACTGGTCTCTGAACACAGATCCACACCATGCATTTAAAGCACATGACTTCTCCAAAATAATATCAGGAACTATAGTTTACCCTCATAGAGCTCCAATTCCAAACACCCTACAGATCCTAGGATTCTTTGGAGGGAAGGTTTAAAGTTTTAAATGTTTGGTGTGGATCTGCCCTAAAACGAAACAGGAATGTTCTGCTCCCTCACCATCTCCATGAACTGGGTGAGAGCCAGAGCATCCCTCAAAGCATTGCCGCTTGTCTTCTCTGCCCTGGGGGTGGGAAGATGAGCAGCAATGTCACGTGCTGGAACGCCTCCCTCTTGCCTGGGAGGGGGTGCTGCAGCGGCAGCAGTGGGGCAGGCGGGGTGCCGCCTCTTGCGCTTCTACTGCCTGAAGCAGGTGCTTCCCCCTCCCTCATCGGGGGGCCAGCTCTGTGAGCGTGGACCCAAGGAAATTACTATGCATGACTAAGTTAGATTCAGTGAGTTTACTCTTCCCATGCATTTAAAGCACTATTTGATCACTTTAACGATCAAGGCTTCTCCCAGAGAATCCTGGGCACTGTAGTTTGTTAAGGTGCTGAGAATTGTGAAGAAGTGCCTATTCCCTTTACAGAACTACAATCCCCAGAGAACTTTAACAACTGAAATTTTTGCAATGCAAAGTACCCTATGCAAATTAGCCTAATTTGCACAGGAAAGTTATCCTGTTCAAAATTTCTCAGAAAACCTACTTCAATGTTCTATACAGAGAGACATAAAGACTTAGATTAAATGCTATTTATATTTCTTTTTGATATGCCTTCTTTATGTTTTCTCAAATAGGAGGGGGGAGGTTTTTGATTGTCCCCAGGTTGTTGAAATCTCTAACCAGTCTTATCTGACTGCTGCAAGTTGCTGCTGTTTGTACAATCATATATCCATCTGTTCATAGTAAGGAAACTGAATAGGCTCATGTCAGCCTACAGATATCTAGGTACCTTGACTTACTAAGCTTTGAGCAGGCTAGTCGCTGATAACAATATGAAATATACTAGTGTAGTACAAACATTTACAGAACATTTACCTCATCTTTTTCCTTTTAAAAATAAAAATAAAATGTGTTTAGTTTTACTGACAGCACTCAAAGGTCCCCTGCTGTGACACTGTGGTGCCAAAATATATTTGTTGTCCTCCAACCCAACCCCCACATTTGTCCATTTTAAGAAAAGCTGACTAGTTCCACAGGTACCCCACAGTGAGGCTGTGATTCCAAAAGTTTTTTGCAACCCCCCCAAAGCTCCCCCAGATGTGTCCATTTTTAAAACCTCCTTTGGCCATGTTTGCTCTGGGGCCAGGACCCCTTTGACATGTGCCGCCCAGAGGGTTGGGTACGGTTCAGTGCAGCCCTCGCTCCAAAAAGGGGTCATCTTGGTTTAGTGAGCTACTGTGAACCTCAGGTTCACATATTCACCTCTCCTGCCCTACTTTCCTTAGCCATCAGCTGTCACGGCCTGCCAACTGTAGCTAACATTAACTGTGGTTTGTTCCAAACTAGGCAGCTTCAAACCACTGTTACTGAATCCAGCTTAGAATCATAGAATTGTTGAGATGGGAGGGACTGAGGGCCAGCCTCTGCAATGCAGGAATAGTTTGCCCCATACGCATGACACAAAGAGTCTCTTGCTCTACTGACTGAGTTTGTATAAACTTATAATAATCAATATTAACCACTGTTCCAGGCCCAAATAACATAGCAAGCTGTGGCTAATCAAAAGCAGAAATGAGAGTTTTTGAACCCTTTTCTCCAGTGAGGAATGAGAGCTGCAGTTCATTCTGCTAAACAGGCAGAATGATGTGAAAATAACTTATGAATGCCATTATTGGCTAGAACTAAAAGTAAATGAAATGATAGTCAAAACACACCACAGGGATTCAAAACTGACCACTTTTAAGTGATACCTTTTCCTCATAAGTACATGGCACATTCTATCTACATATGATTGTTTTCTGAATAGAAAGAAGCTGAAGATACTGGTTGTTACATTTTTAAAAAATCCTACTTCCCACCACAAAGCATATTGCTGACATATTCTCTGTATGATCACTTACTAAGAAGGTACATTTTCAAGATTTATTCATAAGATTGACAAGCTGCTTGATCAAAGAACTCTGCAGAGCACAAATACAACTGTAGATAACATATAGCTAAAATCCACAAACCAATTAAAAAGCAAATATACATAAAATGATGATTCAAGCACTGATAAATAAAAGTTTAAAAACAAATATAGTTAGCTAAAGTTATTTATTTACTTTGAACATGTAAAATCTGCTCTTTCCACCTTCTACACACACTTCCTCTTCCTGATGGCAGTTTGTGCAGTAAAAGTACAGAGCTCCTTGGCTCCGTGCCTTGTTTTCATTCTAACTTTGCCCAGCTGTACTAGTTTTACCCAGTCCTCCCTCCTACACTGTCCACTCTGCATACTTGGGATCCTTTCATGGATCTGGCCTCGGCTTAGACTGCAACTGTCTTGTTCCCTCCTGTTATGGTGCTGTGCCACCTATCACACCTCCAGAAAGTGAGATGAGAAGCAGCTGGCCAGAGTTCTCCCAGGCTGGAATTCATATGAGAGAAAAAGAGCCAGTCTTCATGGACTGGTCTTGTCCCTCAGCTAACCATCGTGACCAAGCCCTCTTCTCTGGTGAGATGCATCCAGGCAACAGTGCCTGCCCTCTTACCTACCACCTGAAACTCTGAACCTGTAGCAAATCTTTCTGAATTCCAGCGAGAACTAACTTATGCCACCACATCCCATACTAAAGTGCAGATCAGAACATAGTTATGCTTTGCATTTTGCACGTCTCCAAAGTTTGTGTTTCAGTTCTTGGTTCAATAAAGCAGCAAATATACATTTAAAATGCTTAGTTTAGAGCCAGGGGGATTTAGAACTGCGCATTTTGTGAGGAAATATGCTAATTTTCATTCTTAATTTTTTGATGAAAAACAGAAGAGGGCAGATAGGATTGATGAAGATGTGCAAAAGTGATAGAGACTGATCTGTCCAATCGCCATCCCTCCCGGGGCGTAACAGTCAAACACCTTTGGCAGTCTAACAGAGAATTTGATATATTATTTCAAGCAAGGTAAACGAAGAACAGGTCCTTGCCATCAACATTCATTACCTCCCAATGTTATCAATGACCTTTCTTGCTGTCCTGTCTATTTCATTACCAGTTTTGCCATTTTTCTCTCAGAATTACATTGTGCTTGTTATTGTACATGGAATATGCTTTTGGCTGATCAATTAATGAAGCTGGTTAGGAAAATATGCACTGTACCCATTTTGCTAAAAGGACAGAAATTGTTCTAAGCACAGAAAGTATAGCAGAGATGAGAGCCTTCATGTGAAATTGCAAACCACACAACAACGAAAGAAAAGAAATCCACTGAAATATGCCTGTTTCTAATGTACAAAGTAATAAACATTATTTTCCCAACATTTTTCAAAACAGCGAATGCAACAGTTCCAGGGACAGTTAAGATAAGTGCCAGGAGTTCAACAAAGCAGGAAACTCAGGAGTGGAGATTAAGCTAAAAATATATGTTGTTGTTGTTGTTTAGTCGTTTAGTCATGTCCGACTCTTCGTGACCCCCTGGACCAGAGCACGCCAGGCACTCCTGTCTTCCACTGCCTCCCGCAGTTTGGTCAAACTCATGCTGGTAGCTTCGAGAACACTGTCCCACCATCTCGTCCTCTGTCGTCCCCTTCTCCTTGTGCCCTCCATCTTTCCCAACATCAGGGTCTTTTCCAGGGAGTCTTCTCTTCTCATGAGGTTGCCAAAGTATTGGAGCCTCAGCTTCATGATCTGTCCTTCCAGTGACCACTCAGGGCATATAGAAAAGCATTTAAAAGCAGAAGAGTTCAGCTGAGTTGGAGAAAAGAACTTGCTGTAAGAGATATTCAAGTTGTTTCAATATGTTGTTTCAAGAAAATCGCAACAGAATTTTCCTTTTTCTGCATTACTGCTTCAAGTGTGGACTGAAAGAAGCCTGCCCACCAACTAGGCTCACACAAATGGAACATGAGTTTGAACTTTGAAGCTCTCAGCTCATTCCTTTCAAAATTAATGTGAAGTTGTTCTTGATATTAGTCCCTGTCTGCTGAGAATGAATATAAATCTCTGATCTGAAAAGGATTGTCCTTGGAGTTGGAGAACAAGCTATTCTCAAACTTTCCTCCCCCACCCAAATTGCTACCCCCTTCCTAAACTTAGGCAAGTTTCCCCCAATCCGGTCTTTTGAATTAGAATTCGCATCAGCCACAGCCAGCATTGTCAATTGTGTATTTATTAAAATATTTATAGACTACACTTCCACAGCAGGGCAGAAGGTGGAATACAGCATACAGAATTACAATAAGGAGAATAAAAATGTCAATAAAAACATCAGGTAAAACATCAATACTGGTTAGTGAAAAGAAATTCCCGTGGCAAAGGTCTGACTAAAATCATTTTTAAAAGGCATCCGAAAGGCAGCAGGAATGAAAATTGCCAAGTCTCTACTAGCAAGGAGTTCCACGGAGCAGGGCTGACACACTAAAGTCTCAGTCCCTAGTAAAGACCACTCAAACTCCATGGGCATCGGGAACCACCAGAAGTGCCCCATCAGACGATCTCAGTGATCCAAACCAGAGCATAAGGAAACAGACAGAGCTTGTTAGAGATTATTTAAGAATGATTAGAGCTGTTGTCCAAAACATCTGCAGGTTGAGGAAGGCTGGTTCAAGCATTCAACAAGCCTCAGGAGGATAAAGAACTGCCAACACATTTTATTTTAGAAGCAATCTTGAAAATTCTTTCCACATTCATTCTGGTTGAAGTCAAAGATTGTGTTTTGTGACTGCCTCTGCCACCTACTTGCTTTTTAAATGAACTTTTTGTTCAGGCCAGGTGAATGGCTTTTGCCTCATAAGAATACCCGCATAAGAATAGTGGAATACCCTAGGCTTACATTATAGATATAGCTGGCCCTGCTGTCTATCAGTTGTTCAATGAACTAATGTAAAACAATAAGGCAAACATAGTTTAAAATAATGACAAGACTGGTGGCATCTCAAAAATCTAAAAATTTTATTTGGCCCAACCAGTGCTTTTTTTTTCTAGAAAAATAGGTGCAAGTAGTCACCATGAAGTTGTTAACACTAAGCGTCACACTTCTTAACAGGAGCAACAAAATACGTGCTAGTACTGCGTATCTTTGAGTACCCCCTGGGGGGGAAAGCTCTGGGCCTAGCCTATAGAGGACCCAAGCGCACGTTGTCAGATGCATGCAAGAAGCAACAGCCTTGCATCAGCCATAACCGATTCTGGCAACAATAACGAAACCATGGAAAGTTGTTTAGGTAACAGTTTACAGCTACCTTGTTACAAGAGCAATGGATTTTTTATGTGGGGAAGTATATCCATTTGCTACTGCTATTTCTCCAGAGAAAAACTGCAAGGTAGGAAGAAGGCAAGGGTGGAGAAGAGTCCTGAGGCCGAACACCTTGCAACCTCTTCCCCAAGCTGGTGCTGCCCGGATGGTTTCAACTGCAGCTGACATCAGCTCAGCACAGGCACCAGGTTTCAGAATGGTGCCCAATACCTTCCAGAGTAAGATCTCTCAGTCTCTTTCTCTGCCCTCTTTCACATGCTAGGGAACAGTCTCTCGCTTTCATCTCTTTGCTTAGATACACATTCCCCTTATTTCTTAGCTTCGTTCTCTCTCTTATGGGGAAATCCCCACTTCCTGTAATGGAATCCCAGTGTAAGTGGCTTCAACAGGGGAGCCACAGAAAGAATGTGGTTCATCAAGCTGTGGGCTCAAAAACCTCTGGGTCACCTTCTTACAGAAGCCATTAGATGTAACATCAGGAGACATAGGAGCCAACGCCTAGGGGCTGTGGTGGCTTTGGCCCCCACAATAAAATATTTGAGGGGGCCTCCACAAAGTTGATGGGCCTTCCCATTCAAATGGTGTGTGTGCACTGCATCGTGTGATCAATTATGCGGTGTGGGGCTTACCTGGGCCCCCACAGTATTTTATTCAAGTTGGCTCCCCTGTCGGGAGACCCAGTTAAGAGCAGCAATTCCCTCCACCAGCTCAGGGTCTTGGTACTGCAGAAGAGCCTTTCACCCTTTCACTCATCTGCATGTCCCCTCCTCCCATAGTTCTATGCCCTGCAAGACAAAACATCAAAGATATATGGGCAACTTGCTCATGAAGAGCCTGGATTAAATTCACTCTCTAGCTAATCTCATACCTGTCATCAGAGTGATTTTAAAAAATCATAATAAGCAAAGAACCCAGCATGGTTCTCCTGACAGATGCAATATAGTCGCACAAGGTTCATGGATTAGTTCTCACTGCATTAGTTCATACTGCATTATCATTGAGTTTTGAAAGCAAAGCTGTTGCCCTCATCACAATCAAGTGCGCAATAATACTTTAATTCGGTATGGTTTAGGTGACATGGACAGCCCGTAAATTGGATTCAGATCTAGATGATCTTCAGGAGGTTTCTCCAGCCTCAGCTGCTGCAAGATGGTGGTGAGGATGACAAAGACTTCATTGCGGGCGACTTCTTCTCCCAAACATTTTCGTATTCCCATTCCAAAGATCAATACCTTCTCAGCCAAGCTCTTGTTGAGCTCTCCATTTACATTCAGAAATCTTTCTGGTTTAAACAAGTAAGGGTCTTCCCATAAAGATCTGTTGTGAAAAGGGGGGAACACACCATATTTTAGAGGTCCCAACTCCTACAAGAAGCAAAGCTGGCTGCTATAGTCAATGTAGGACACTTAATTTAAGTTATGCTTCACATAATTTAGCCACACCTAAGCAATGAAGAAAGCAATATTCCACTGAGATTTTTAATTCAAATTTTTGGAAGCCCACTTTTAAAACGGAAAAAAAACAATGTCCCTTGTGGAGGCAGAGATGAATTTGAAATGGAACTGATAAAAGTCTTAAGCTTTATTTGATGAAAAGACTCAAAAGCAAACAGGAAGTAGAGATTAGGTCACCCAGGGCAGCAGTTGAAGAAGGAGCAAAAAGGGTTTTCTTGTGTGTGTGTGTGTTTCTTTGTGGCTGATTAGCTGTTCTCCCTGTGCAAAGGTCAGAGGGGGCAGGTTTTCTGTTGAGGCAGGTGATTAGCTGTGGGAGGAGCTTATCAGAGCTTGCAGGGCAGTGGCGCGCACAGTTCGATCCATCTTTTAGATTTAGGGGAGCTAGACTCAAACGTTTGTTGGGGGAGACCTAGGTTTTTTTTGTGGGGGGAGTTATTTTTCCTGTCTTCACGCTTTTTATGATGGAGGACCGCTGTACCCACCCCCAACGACACGTTCTCAAGATGGAGGGGGGGGAACAGCTGCAGTCGCCTGCGGTTCCTGCGCAATGTTTGCCATCTTGCCAAAGGTTGCAGGCAGCTTTACCTGCAGCAATTGCATGTTGATTGCCCTCTTAAAAGACAAAGTCCAGCAACTGGAGGAACGTGTAGCTACGCTCCAAAGAATTAGAGAGCTGGAGCTCTTCTTGGAAGCAACAGAGCACACCGTCTCCACCAAGGAGGAGACAGGGGACTCCCCTGAGAAGGACGCTAGTTCACCAACACTAGAGCCAGATATATGGAGAAACGTGACTCAAAGAAGTAGGAGGCCCAGGGTTCGCTCTGATTGTTTAGAAATACACAATCGCTTTGAGGTCCTCTCCCCTAGCATGGAAGACGAAGAGCAGACTCCATTTGAGGATCTCTCCCTCATTACAGTCGATCAGGTATATGAAGACGAGCAGCAAAGTCAGTCCTCAGGGAATGTGCAGGCGACCTTGGAGCGGACAGCTCACGGAAGAACCCCGACCAAACCTAAGAGGAGGCGTGTAGTGGTGATAGGGGATTCCCTACTGAGGGGAACAGAAGCAGTGATCTGTGGGCCTGACAAGATGTCTCGGGAAGTGTGCTGTCTCCCGGGGCTAAGATCCAAGATGTAACTGAACGACTGCAAGGAATCATAAAACCCACTGACAAATACCCCTTCCTCTTGGTTCATGTGGGAACCAATGACACTGCAAGCAATAGCCTCCAGAAGATCAAAAGAGACTACGAGGCTCTGGGCAGGAAATTGAAGCAATTAAATGCACAAATTGTGATCTCATCTGTCCTCCCAGTTGAACGACGTGGCCCAGGGAGAGAGGGGAAAATAGTGGAAGTGAACAGCTGGCTTCGCAAATGGTGTAAACAGGAACGGTTTGGATTCTTAGATCACGGACTGCAGTTTCTTGAAGATGGACTTCTGGCAAGCGATGGGCTGCACCTCACAACGGTTGGGAGGAATGTTTTTGCCAAAATTCTCAGAAACCTCATCAGGAGGGCGGTAGACTGTCTAATGTAGGGGAGGGAGACAGTGCTCCTGAAGGTAGGAGTCTATCAATTGATGAAGATGATCATCCAAATGTCATAGACCAAATGGAGCAAACAGCACACAGACCTAGTGGTGGGAGGAAAAAATCCTTAAATAAGAGTCACGGGGGAATGATTAATAGACTTCAATGTCTGTACACTAATGCGCAAAGCATGGGAAATAAACAAGATGAGCTTGAGCTCTTGGTACAGCAAACAAAATATGACATAATAGGCATCACTGAAACCTGGTGGGATAAGTCCCACGATTGGAATGTAATAATGGGGGTATACAATCTATTTCAGAGAAACAGACCAGACAAGAAAGGAGGAGGAGTGGCGTTATATGTCAGGGATGTGTATACCTGTGAAGAGATCCAAGATTTAGAACCTCAAAGCCAAAGTGAGAGCATTTGGGTCAAAATTAAGGGAGAGAAGAATAACAGTGACCTCATTGTGGGAGTTTACTATAGATCCCCAAGTCAAACGGAGGACATAGATGATGCCTTCCTGGAACAGATGGCCAAGCATGCAAAAAGGAAGGGAGATAGTAGTAATGGGGGACTTCAATTACCTGGATATTTGTTGGATGTCAAACTCAGCCAAGAGCATAAGGTCAAACAGATTCCTCACTGGCCTTGCAGACAACTTCATTGTCCAGAAAGTGGGAGAAGCAACAAGAGGAACAGCCATTTTAGATCTGGTCCTAACCAATGTTGATGACCAGGTTAGTGGGGTAGAAGTGGAAGGATCATTAGGCGCGAGTGATCATGCTCTTCTGAAGTTTACTATACAGCGGAAAGGAGCACCCAAGCATACTAGGACTCAATTTCTTGACTTTAAGAAAGCTGACTTCATAAAACTTAGGGAAGTGCTGGGTGAGATCCCATGGACAGTAATACTAAAAGGAAAGGGAGTTCATGATGGCTGGGAGTTTGTTAAGAGGGAGATAGTAAAAGCACAACTTCAGGCAATACCAATGAGACGGAAACATGGAAGGTGCATAAAGAAGCCAGGGTGGCTATCTAAAAAACTTTTAACTGAGTTAAGATTAAAAAAGGATGTGTACAAAAAAATGGAAAAGGGGGGAAACCACCAAAGAAAAATTCAAACAAATAGCCAGCACGTGTAGACACAAAGTCAGAAAAGCTAAAGCACAGAATGAACTCAGGCTTGCTAGAGAGATTAAAAGCAACAAAAAAGGCTTTTATGGGTATGTCCGTAGCAAAAGGAAGAACAAAGAAACAGTGGGGTCACTCAGAGGAGAAGATGGTGAAATGCAAACAGGGGACACAGAAAGAGCTGAACTCCTCAATGCCTTCTTTGCCTCAGTCTTCTCCGATAAAGAAAACAATGCCCGACCTGAAGAATTTGGAGCAAATGATTCAGCAAAGGAAACACAGCCCAGAATAACTAAGGAGATAGTACAAGAATACTTGGCTAGTTTAGATGTATTCAAGTCTCCAGGGCCAGATGAACTGCATCCAAGAGTATTAAAAGAACTGGCAGATGTGATCTCAGAACCACTGGCAGTCATCTTTGAGAATTCCTGGAGAACAGGCGAAGTCCCGGCAGACTGGAGGAGGGCAAATGTTGTCCCTATTTTCAAAAAGGGGAAAAGAGAGGACCCAAATAATTACCGCCCAGTCAGTCTGACATCAATACCAGGGAAGATTCTGGAGCAGATCATTAAGCAAACAGTCTGTGAGCACCTAGAAAGGAATGCTGTGATCACTAATAGTCAGCATGGATTTCTGAAAATAAGTCATGTCAGACTAACCTGATCTCGTTTTTGACAGAATTACAAGCCTGGTAGATGAAGGGAACGCAGTGGATGTAGCCTACCTTGATTTCAGCAAGGCATTTGACAAGGTGCCTCATGATATTCTTGTAAAGAAGCTGGTAAAATGTGGTCTTGACTATGCTACCACTCAGTGGATTTGTAACTGGCTGACTGACCGAACCCAAAGGGTGCTCATCAATGGTTCCTCTTCATCCTGGAGAAGAGTGACTAGTGGGGTGCCACAGGGTTCTGTCTTGGGCCCGGTCTTATTCAACATCTTTATCAACGACTTGGATGATGGAGTCAAGGGCATCCTGATCAAATTTGCAGATGACACCAAATTGGGAGGGGTGGCTAACACCCCAGAGGACAGGATCACACTTCAAAACGACCTTGACAGATTAGAGAACTGGGCCAAAACAAACAAGATGAATTTTAACAGGGAGAAATGTAAAGTATTGCACTTGGGCAAAAAAATGAGAGGCACAAATACAAGATGGGGGACACCTGGCTTGAGAGCAGTACATGTGAAAAGGATCTAGGAGTCTTGGTTGACCACAAACTTGACATGAGCCAACAGTGTGACGCAGCAGCTAAAAACCAATGCAATTCTGGGCTGCATCAATAGGAGTATAGCATCTAGATCAAGGGAAGTAATAGTGCCACTGTATTCTGCTCTGGTCAGACCTCACCTGGAGTACTGTGTCCAGTTCTGGGCACCACAGTTCAAGAAGGACATTGACAAACTGGAACGTGTCCAGAGGAGGGCAACCAAAAAGGTCAAAGGCCTGGAAACGATGCCTTATGAGGAACGGCTAAGAGAGCTGGGCATGTTTACCCTGGAGAAGAGGAGGTTAAGGGGTGATATGATAGCCATGTTCAAATATATAAAAGGATGTCACATAGAGGAGGGAGAAAGGTTGTTTTCTGCTGCTCCAGAGAAGCGGACACGGAGCAATGGATCCAAACTACAAGAAAGAAGATTCCACCTAAACATTAGGAAGAACTTCCTGACAGTAAGAGCTGTTCGACAGTGGAATTTGCTGCCAAGGAGGGTGGTGGAGTCTCCTTCTTTGGAGGTCTTTAAGCAGAGGCTTGACAACCATATGTCAGGAGTGCTCTGATGGTGTTTCCTGCTTGTCAGGGGGTTGGACTCGATGGCCCTTGTGGTCTCTTCCAACTCTATGATTCTATGATTCATCCATGGGATATACACATAAAGGCAGGTGTCACAGGAGAGTGGCAGAGCACTTCTTGCATGCAGATGGTCCCCAATTCAATCCCCAACAGGTAGTGCTGGGAATGTGCTTGGAGAGCTGCTCCCAGTCAGTGTAGAGCAGGTGTTGGGAAACTCTGGCCCTCCAGATGTTGATGAACTACAACTTCCGTCATCCGAGGCCACTGCTTGTTTGGGCTCGCAGGAGTTGTAGTTCAACAACATCTGGACAACCAATGGTTGCCCTTCTGTAGACAATACTGAAGTCGATGGAGCAGTTGGGTATAAAGCACCTTCCAATGTTCCTATCAGTGGGGCACAGAGAGATGGGCTCAGAAAGAGAGAAAGCATTCGGTTTCAGTCCTGCTCACCACTGCCTTTGACCCACTGATGTCCTCTAACAGATTGCCCCCAAGAGAAAAATGGTTGCCCTCCCCTGTATTGGGAGGTGCTTGAAATGCCCCTTGTGTTGCTGGGAGAGGAGGTCTTGCAGTGCTGCAACCAGAGAGGACACAGGCACTATCCCTAACAAGCAAAGGTAATCCCTGATAGCAACCAAACAGGGAAGATGCATGGCTTCCACTGACAAGAGGCCACAAGGTGGGAGTCAAGAGCAGCCAGCATGGAGGGACGTCACTGTGCACCTTGCCTCCTGGTAGTGGCACAGTTGCCAGCTGCTAAGATGGTTGGATGGGGTTGCCAGTGCACTAGTTCAGCCAACGTGGCACTCCTGCCAGTCTAACCACACAGCACTGACTTCCCTGCCCCCTCTCCTCTTCCACTCTCTGCCTGGAAAGCAGCAGGGATGTCTCTGCTCGGAGACCAGGTGTGTGTTACTGCCCAATGGTCCAATAGGAGCTTCTACCTGCCATGCTCAGAAATGCATCATGCCCCCAAGACAAGTCCCTCTCCGTCACACCCTGTCCACCCTACGTTCCAAGCTTATGCACGGCAGACACAAGAAAGAAACAAACCCTGACTATAATGCCTTTTCTTAAAAATAGTATTGTTACTTACTCATCATGATTCACTTGATACATATTAACGAAGATACAAGTCTTTGTGGGAATATGGTACCCATTCAGAGTGGCATCTTTGGTGGTACTGGAAACAAACACACAAGCGCATACACATCACTTTTGTTCAACACTGATATGTGGAGCTGCACAACAGCTTCACAGCAATCTACAGATAGTGGTGAGAGATCAACCCGTGGCCCCCACCTTTCAGAAATATAATTTAGGATTGCTCCACACTGATGTACACTTCCTGCTACGATTGTCATGGTACAAACAAAAGGAACCACCAAGAATGGCCTGGGTCCATCACTGCTGGCATAAAGGGTCACTTAGATGTTATGTTGTTATGTACCAGCATTACAGATCTTGGCTTCTCCAGTTGGGGATTTAAGAGCTTTCCAAATGTCATGGAACGTTTCATGTGAATGAAATACTGTTTTCCTTATTCATTGTTAAAATAAAACAAGATGAACGAAAGAAGAAATACACCCCACAACCCGTTTTTCATTTGAGCTGAGCAATGGTTTCTTATTTTGCCCTGTTTGTAGTGCAGGCATTCCATGCTTACATCTCCTGAAGCATTTTGGGTTTCACCTTAGCACAGCTTTTCTGAATTCTGAACATGAACATTTTCTCCAGCTAAACTGCCCTCAAAGCTTCAGTCATGCACCTGTGGAGTTTTTGCCTGAGAGGGCTAACAGCAGAGATCTGGGTGGGGAGGGTGATTCAGCGCTGCCTCCTCCCAAACTCTACTTTAAAGTAAAAAGTTGAAAACATCAGGAGATCCAGAATGTAGCTTGGTTCTTGGCGAGGCTCCCAGAGAATAAGTTTATAAGGCAGCTTACAAGACCGACTGATTCTCCCACGTTCTTGCTTTCATCCTCAAATTTCACTCTCCCACTTAATCTTGTTTATAAATTTGCTAAGTTCCTAAAGGTTGCTAAGTCACATGACAAAATTGATTTTGAATTGGTGCAAGTCTCTCTTCCTGCTCCCACCCCATTTTGGGTGGCTTAAATACTGTCAGCTGAGCTGAGGTAATGGACTTTGCTAGCATATCTCTGGCTGAGTCCCAGCTCAGCCGGGAAAGCACAAGATCCACTCTCATCCTGGTGGATTTTGAATTTGGGTGGCACTCATTTTTTCTTCAAATTGTTTGATTAAAGATGTCCAACCCCTGCATTATTATTTGTTAATTGATGTGTTTTATTTACAAATAAATATAGGCCATTTAAACAAATAAATCTTTTTTGGTGGTGCTGGTGGTGAATTTTAAACAGTTCTGCCTGAGTGGCTTTCTTGCAATTGGTCACTTTAGGGCTAAGAGCATTATAGTATTGGGGGATGGCTAGGGGATCTAAGGGAACTGTAACAGGGTGGACAAATATCCTAAGCCACATCTTTTACCTATAAGCTAGGGAAACTCCTCATAAAATAAGACACTTCTTTCTTCAGTACTCTACTGGACACAGAATTCAATTGATTATGGCAAAAATTATCTGGAATATTACTTCTGTGGTCAAGCCCCAGTGTTAAGGCAGAATCCAGTGATGGGAAGTTAGGGAAGGGAGGGCAGAGTGCTAACTATTCCATGCGGTCAGTTAAGGTAACTTGGCAGTTCTGTCTGTGTTGGCAGCACCATGCAAAACATGAAGTAGTCATATGAGCAGAACTTTGAAACAAAACCACCCTCCAACTCTGCTTCTTACCAGTGAGGAATAGTGAAGGGCAGGAAGGAGGCGTGCCTAAATATTTCATGAAGGAAAGCTTCTGTGTAATGCAGAACTTTTCGATCTTTAAACCTTGATGGTCTTTCTCCAATCTTTGCATCTGCACAGAACAAAATGGAACATGTTTCAAGCAATGTGCTTCACAGGATTGCTTCAATTTTCCATTTAATCAATTTAATCAAGAACATTACCAATTTCTTCTTGAATTTTCGTTTGAATTTCCGGATTGCTTATCAGGTACAGAAATATCCATTGCAAACATACTGACAGTGTAGCAAAGCCTACAAAATAAAAGAAGTGTCAGGATATGTTGTGGTTAAATTATTATTCTGCAAACAACACTTTGGTATTTCTATATGCTGAAATCCGTTGTAGGCATAATGCACAAATCCCAAGAGATATTCCATCACGAATGTATGGAATACATACATCCATACATTTCCATATAAAATTGACTAGATAGTTATGATTTGACATGTTTTGGTACTACTGGTAATTGCTAATGGTTCACTTAAATCCAGGTCCTGGATATTTCCATGCCTGCACGAGCATTTTCCCCACCAGGCGTGCTCTGTAACGGGGGCCGAGGACCCGCAAAATTTTCAAGAAGGGGGCTGGGCACCCTCAAAATCCCACAACCATGCGCATCTTCTGCCAGGGCTGTCTTTGCCAGACACACAATGGCCAGAGTGCCTTTCAAAAGGTAAGGTGGTGGGCGGTGGGCTGAGTCGGGTGGGAGGGATGGCGTGCATGTGACATCACGCATGCGTGACGGACTCCCCTAATGTTGGGCACAACTCAACGCTTCTGTTCCCCACAGTTGCAACGCTTTGTAGGGTGGAGTTTTTGTCATCAGGTCCTCAATTTCTGGCCATAATTTTATTTAGCCAAATGCCTAAATCAGGTCACAGATCCATTTTTGCTGAAATTTACAACCAGTCCCAGTTTGACAGTCAATTTTGCAATTCTACCCCTTGCAATGGTCCAAGAAAATGTTCAGTCAAACTGTACTTTCCTATCAAACGTTAAAATGGATTATGTTGAGTTCCATTTTAGGGAGTGAAACCAATTCCATATTTTAGGTGTTGGAAAAAATTAACACACTTTGCTAAAGTTTGTCCATGTTGACAATGACACAAAATCCATCTACACAGAAGACACTGGGCAAGAGGTCTACAGTTAGTTAGGCCAAATGGCCGAAGTATTGGGAAATCTTGGAACAAGAGGGTGACAGATTAAAATTACAGAGCTTTGAAAAATTAAAAAACAGAGTGCGAGATTGGCTCCATTATTATCAAATAATGGAGGCATATAATCAGGACAAAAAATTAGGTTTTCAAGTGGAAAAATCAAAGTTGGAAACAGAATTGTTAGACCCTAAAGTTAAGAATTTGTCAAGAATGTATAACTTGCTATTGAAATGGAATACTCAGGATGAAATGGTGAAATCTGCTATGATTAAATGGGCACAGGATGTTGGACATAATATTATGATGGCTGACTGGGAACAGTTATGGACCACTGGTATGAAGTTTACGGCATGTAATGCCTTAAAAGAGAATTTAATGAAAATGATTTACAGGTGGTACATAACACCAGTCAAGCTTGCAAAAATTTATCATTTGCCTGATAATAAATGTTGGAAATGCAATGAAACTGAAGGTACTTTCTTTCACCTCTGGTGGACATGCCCAAAGATTAAGGCATTCTGGGAGATGATCTATAATGAAATGAAAAAGGTATTTAAATATACCTTCTTAAAGAAACCAGAGGCCTTTCTCCTGGGCATGGTGGGCCAATTGGTGCCAAAGAAGGACAGAGTTTTTTCATGTATGCTACAACAGCAGCAAGAATACTCATTGCAAAGCACTGGAAGACACAAGACCTACCCACCAGGGAAGAATGGCAGATGAAGCTGATGGATTACATGGAATTGGCGGAAATGACTGGTAGAATCCGAGACCAGGGAGAAGAGTCGGTGGAAGAAGATTGGAAAAAATTCAAAGCTTATTTACAGAAATATTCTAAAATTAATGAATGTTAGAAAGATGCTGGAAAGAAGTTATATGACTTTAGTAGAAATATTATAAAGAATTAAGTATGAATAGATTGATATTGGGTAAAGAGGTAAATTTAAGTTTACAATTGCGTTAAGTTAAATTATGGAACTAAATTTGTGAAAGAGGGAAAGGACTTGCTGGAATATTTAATTGAACTAGAATACAAAAAAGGAGGTGTGAGGAAGTCGAGGAAATAAGCAAATGAAAGATAAGGATATGAAAACATGTGGTTCTTCTGTATGTTTGTTTGTTCTTTTTTGGGTTTTCCCCCCTCTTTTTTTGTATTGTTGATGTTTTGTACTACTGTATTTATTTTTGTCTTTGAGGTTTTGTAATTGTTTATTGCTTATATTTTTCTCTTGTTTCTCTTCTGTTTTTTTGCAATGTCTAAACTTCAATAAATATTTTATTTAAAAAAAAATACAATTAGTTAATGTATACTTTTTAAAAATCTCATGAATTTTAAGTCACACTAAGTCTATCCACCAACAAAGATAGAAGCCTTTATATGGTGCCTACAAAAATTTCACCTGCTCTTCACCTAAAAGATCAGCTGTCAACAGCAGGCAGCTGTGTTTTAAGGGTCATGTTTAAAAACTCAGAGTGGCAAAAATGTTCCATACTTACCAGCCCCAAAAATGTCATTGACTGTAACTATTATTTTCTGCTGAGATAAAGCTGCAGCTTTCCCATCCTCTCTTTTTTCATTGCTAACACTAATGAGGGCATCTGTGATGTCTCTGAGATGGTTCTAAAGGAAACAAACAAAACCCTTGATGCTATTTTCAACCAATCACTTTTTACTTGGCAAGCTACAATTTGTTTAATCCTACATATAACGAGTCTATCTTGTTTTTTCCCCTCCCAGCCAAATCAAGGGCTTCAGACTCTTAGGACAAAATTTATTTTGGAAAAGAAAGCAGCAAGTATCAGCTGTTAATAATGTCAAGCATAGTGATAAATTCCTTAGGCAACAATCCCAGCCTGACTTCATAGCAAGCTATTGGCCTAAGCAACATTAAAGTCACAGGAATTTACTGCCAAGTCAATACACACAAAAGAATGCTGCTAATGGTATTTCTCTTGACAGTACAAGTGTTATCTTCTCCCAATCTCACATAAGGCTGGACAGAAGTCACATTAATCTGTGACTTCTGTTTTAAACTACAGTGGTACCTCCAGTTGTGCATGGGATCCATTCCGGAGCTCTGGTTGGATCCCGAGGAATTTGCAACCGGAGGTGCCGCTTCTGTGCATGCGTGCAGCATGGTAGAGTGCTTCTGCGCATGCACGTGCAGTGAAACCCAGAAAAATACTTCCGGGTTTGCTGCATTTGCATCCTGAAGGATACGCAACTGGAGGTGTACATATCCAGAGGTACCACCGTACATAAAAATGTGCATTTCAACATGTTTCCCCTTACAATGCACACAGAAACAGAATTGTAGAGTTGGAAAGGATCCTGAAGGTCATCTTGATCAGCCCTCTGCAACACAGGGATCTCAATTAATTCATCCATGACAGATGGCCATCCAACCTCTGCTTGACAACCTCTTGCCATCAGATATTTCTTCCTGATGTTTAGTAGGAATCTCCTTTCTTGTAACTTGAAGCCATTGATTCAGGTCCTAGTCTCTGGAGCAGGTATCATAGAATCGTAGAGTTTCTAGACCCTTGATCATCTTGCTTGCCCTCCTCTGAACACATTCCAGCTTGTCAATATCCTCCTTAAATTGTGTTGCCCAGAACTGGACACAGTACTTTGGTATGTTTTTTGAGCCAAGAACTGATATGCAACATTCCCCCTCCTCAGATTTCCTGATACAAAATCAGTATCCCAGAACTCCAGGGGGTGGAGATGGGGGGTGGGGGTGGCCAGGGATACAGACACCAGCATGTGCCTGTGCAGTCTCCCCTCCAGAGCTAATGGCAGTTTTTGGAGGTACAATTTTGCATCAACTGCTGCAAAATGCTATTGCCCAATTAGCATCTACCAACAGTCATACACAGCATCCTACTCCAACTTCCCATCATCTGCATAGTCTATTACTTTCTAGGCTCAAATCAAGATGCTGATTCTTACTTTTACAGCCCTACATGGTTTAGGAACCCAAGTGGTGGGGCAGGGAATCCTTCCCCATATGAAGTGCAACCATTTTGGTTGTGGGGCTCCAGTGTTTTGCTCTTTGAGTGTCTAGTTTACACCTGGCTCTTTGAGGTTTTTAAGCCCAACTGATTTGCTGCCTCTTGTTTTTCTCTGCCCTGTTGCTTCTATTTTTTCTTTTAATTGCTACTGCTCCATTTGTAATGCGTTTTTAATTTTAATTTGAGTTTTCTTTAACTAAGTTGTTTTCATTTGGGGAGCCACTTCATTACAATGCATTTCATTTTTTTAAGAAGATCAGAATTTTAAAAATAATTTTAAAAATATTTCATTGAAAACTAGTATGCTTTAGCTGTTAGAGAAACTAGATAGCATATTTGCATGTCCAGGAAATAAAAGATTTATATACCACTTGACTGTAATAAATCCTCAAAGTGGTTTACGGAAAAAATGTAATTATTTTTAAAACAGCTGTTTACAACATTCAAAAGTGATTAAAATCAATGATAAGCAGAAAACTAGATTAAAACACATGTCAACCTTCCACATGTCTGGAATGTTAGGAATGTTAATATGAGAAATGTGATCTAAGTTGCCATTCTACTCTGCCACAAACTGTAGAAATGCAGTGTTTGAACAGAAAGATTCTGCATTCCTGTATTCACCCTTTCAATGTTTTTGGCAGGCGTGATCTCCTGCCATGCTTTGGTTAGATAAGTGTCATGCTACCTGAAGAACCACCCCCACCCCCACCCCCAGTGTTTTCCGCCTCCACAGCTGAAAGCTTACCTTATCGTATGTGGTGTAGTGGTCTTCTACACGTTTTGCAACAAAGTTGTTGAACTTCCTATAAAACTCTCGAGCAGCCTTTGCAGCAGGAAGCGGGAGGTAACGAAGGGATGGTATAAAATCAGCTGGATTGAAGACACCTGATGCTTTTATGAAATCATCGTTTACCTTAAGCATGCCTTGAAACTCCTCGTCATCGTGGTCATACCTTTTGTTGAAGCAGAGGGCACAGACAACATTTGCAATTGCACAGGTAGTGGAGGCAGCAGGGTCAAAGCTACCAGCCTGTTTGGAGAGCTCCACGAAGGTTTTCACCAGTTCCAAAGCTTCAGCACAAACATGCTCTTCGAGCAGACAAGAGCAAGTGGAAGACGTGGCTTCTGATTTGGTGAGTGACCTTAAAGCTTTGCTGGCAATTTGCTTCTGAAGCTTCCAGCTTTCTCCGTACTTCACAGAAAATGACAGGCTCTCTCCATCAGCAAAAAAAGAAAAGGTGTGCATGTCAGGTCGGGCAGCAAAACTCTCCCCATCTCTAAGCAGCACCTGTTTCACTGCATCCAGTCCATTAACTACCACGACTGGTACCATTCCCAGCTTTATCTGAAACACATCTCCGTATTTCTTCCGCATGCGCTCAAATGAAATGTAGGGATACTCTCCCAGCTGGAGAAGATTCCCCACAATTGGCAGAGACCAAGGTCCTGGGGGCCGAGGTTGCTTGCTCTTCATAAAAATTCGTATAGAAATTAAAATGGAAGCCACCGTAAAGAAGGCAACGGTCACCTTTGAAAAGGAAACGTCTTCAGCTGTAAAATTCATTTTCAAATAAGAAAATACCTGAGAAGAAAAATGGCAGACTGAAACTCCTTTAAAATAAAATAAAACTTACAGACATGTATAGATACATAGATTTCCAGCAAGACATTTTGCAGCTCCATACCCTTCTACACAGTAGAACCCATTTGCTTCGTGGCGCATTATCTCCATGCCCCCCCTTCCCAATGCAATTCAGAGGATTTCTCTGGTTGCCACAATCTCTCCATCTACAAGTGATTCTAGGATCTTTCTCCCACACTTTTGTATCTAGTGATATCATATGGTAAAACCACTATCTATCTATCAATCTATCTAGTGGCAAAGCACACTCCCAACTCATTACATTTTAGATAAGTATCAGTATACAACTCTGACTCTTAAATTACAACCAAAAGCACCTTTTATTGGGTAGAGCACCCTAATACTTACAGAAGAGCCAAATAATTAAATGTGTCTAGATATCTCTTGGGGAACACAGCAATGTTTCACCAAAGCCAAGTTGTTCATAATATACAGCCAGCAACCCTGCGGTACCTCTGGATGGCTGCTTATTGTGGGATCAGTCTTGCTCAAGCAAACAAGCTTTTCACAACATCCATACAATGTTGTCAGCATCAAAATACCAACCCATATTTTTGCACTGTTAATCTGCCTGAAGTGTGTGCACATCCTGCTTAGACAGGATTTGGTCATCCAAACATGGTCTCCTCCTTGTTCCACAAACCATGACTAGGGATCTGCAAGTGGTAGGCTGGATTTAGCACTGGCTCTAAATAATGTAAGTTGGCCTTTCAGTGCCAACTTAGAAGCAATGGGGATATTAGGAGATGCAATGGTTGTGGAATAAGACTTGCTTGGATTCCAGCGGGGGAGATGAGGACCATCCATTGCCCCCTGAAAGCGGCTATCTTGTAAATGAGATGATCAGAACAAGCAACATGGGATGATTCCTTTGAGAATGTGTGCAGGCAAAACAGAAGGCTGGCTATTTAATAAATGGAATGAGATGTAATTGTTTTGGGGAAAACATAGTAAGTGGCAAATTCATCCCAAACTATTTTCTTTTTAAAAAATCCAAAAACCAGAACATGTCGTTATTTAATTTATGGATGGAGAAGTCTGCACTTTGGCAATGATTCAGCTGAATTCCACCTCTATAAATATTTATGGCAGTGTTGCAACAGTGTGCACTTTGAACCAAGTTCTGGCTCCCCCACTTGTGCCTCTAAAGCAAGAATTGTTTACTGCACACTGTCCCTTCTCCAGTGTAGAATTCCTGGAATCAGTCTCAGCTTCTCTCCCATAAACTGAATCATGAAGAGGCATGTGAAGAAACTAAAGTTAATTTAAGGACAGGATTTCTGGATAACTCATTGCTTTACAAAATATAAACAAGTAGTTCAAATCTCCCCTCTCCTAGCTACACATAAGCTTTCCTCTAAAGAGCTAAAGCAAGAAATGTTTGGGTTTTGCATCTATCACAACGTTTTCCAATAGAGAAATATCAGGGTTGATAGAGACAGAAATGTATTTAACCATTTTCCCATTTCCCCCCACATTTATTCAAAAGTTACAATACAATGCATTTTCATTCAATATATCCCCTCCACAGACACCTCTGTGATGATGGCGGCACTAAAATATCCTGTTCTTCAATAAAAGAGAAAACGGGAGATCGTGTCAAAGGTATCTTTTCCGCAGATGACTTGTGAAGACATTTGTTGAGGGGGGTCTATTGCAAAGGGGGTCCCCTGGGTGCGAGGACCCTTCTCCTTTTTCTGAGCTCTTTATTTTGGCTTTATCTGACACTCCATAATCAGGCTGGATCCCGGCTGGGCTGATGCGAGCTGGAGTCAAAACCTCCGGAGGCTACAAAGACTCATCGTGGCCACTCCGTGTCGAGGAAGAGGCATTGTGCATCTATCCAGGACAGCCCAGGAGCGACGCCGAGGACAGCCCGCAAGGGACCCACTTTCCGGGGACAGACCAGCAGGGAGCCCAAGGGACGAGAAGCCGCGTGGGACTCGCGGGGTCTCTTGGCGTTTGCCCGCCGGGGAAGGAGCCCGCCTAGTCCCGCCTGCAAAACGCGGCTCGAAGGGGACTCTGCACATGCTCAAAGGCGCGTCTCTCGGCCGCTTTGGGAAGCCTTCACCTTTTTATTTCTCCAAAGCAAACCGAGGGTTTTCGTCTTCATTTCCCTTTTGCTCTGCCCCCCCGCAGATCTGCCCAGGAAAGCCGTGGCTTCGGAACCAGCCCCCCTTCGCCGCGGCTCACCTGCTTCGCGCGCCTCCTTTTCTCCCGCTCGGCGGAGCCGCCTCCGCGCGCGCCCAGCAAGGCCAGCGGCGGCGGCGCTTCCAGCTGCTTCCAGCAGAGGGCGCCAGCCTCTGGCCCCGCGGCCTTTGAAACGGGGGGCGCTGCCGCGTGCGGCTCCTGCCCGCGGGCCACTAGAGGGCGCTGTGTGCACGCGGAACCTCTTGCATATCCTGACCATCCTCGTCCGTATCCATATGTTTCTACCCCGCCTTTCCCTCTAATGGGACTCAAGGCGACTTACATATAAAAAAAAGAGCTGCTGGAAACATAGAAAGACTCATTCGACGTGGACAGAATTAAATCTGTTTTTTAAAAAAGAAAAAAGAAAGCACAGTGCCTCAAAGTCTTGCAATCCAAGTTTCTAAATTTAACTGGTGCAGAAAGGAAGTGTTCGCCTTCCCCTCCAGACAGAGTTGGGCTGCAACTCCCCCCCTTGGCCACACTGGCTGCAGCTGATGGGACTTGGAGTCCAGAAAAACTGGAGAGCCAGAAGTTCTCCATCCTTTACCTACAAGAAATATTTACCAGGCTGGTGGTAGTCTAAGGTTACAAAAAAAATAATCAGTGAATCTGGGGACACTTATTGTTCGCTACATACATGTGAATGCTGAGAAAGCTGTAAATCCAGGGACTGTCCCCGGGAAACAGGGACATCTGGTAACCTTATGGTAGTCTTTATGTAGTCACGTAATTTTGAACATGTTGGGTTAGATCTAGATTTAGGCTGCAGTACGTTGCAGTACTCAACGTACCTGGGAGTAAGACCCCACTCAATTCAGTAGGACTTATTATTGTGCTGTATGTCTAGGCCAAAGGTCAGCAAACTTTTTCAGCAGGGGGCCGGTCCACTGTCCCTCAGACCATGTGAGGGGCCAGACTATATTTAGGGGGGGGGATGAACAAATTCCTATGCCCCACAAATAACCCAGAGATGCATTTTAAATAAAAGGACACATTCTACTCATGGAAAAACACGCTGATTGCCGGACTGTCCATGGGCCAGATTTAGAAGGCGACTGGGCTGTATCCAGCCCCCAGGCCTTAGTTTGCCTCGCATGGTCTAGGCCCACTGATTTCAGCTAGGCTCCACTTTTTTGGCTTTTTGAAAAATGCACTTCTTCTGCTGCATCTTTTTCCTTTGCAGATGAGACTTTGCCGATAAACTTTGGTTATATGACTGTGTTTTTCATTCCTATGACTGCACTAACATCCATGGTGCCTCCTGATATTTACTCTTCAAATAGTAAGGGACTGGCAATTACATAACACATTGCCTGAGTTACAAAGGTTGCCACAGTCACCACTGGTATACTGTCTTGATTCTGCGTATTCTTCTCTCCACAGGTTATATAACCCATCAAATACTTTTCAGGAAAGAGATTTGCCTTGGCACATATCCAGCAAACATGCCACAGCAAGGGAGCTGGAGAACTTGGAAACGAACTTTACCCATAGAGATCAGATAAGGACCCTTATCTCCTAATTATGCAGGTTAGAGTTGGTATGATAGTAACGCATATTTAGCATTTTAAAATATCGAATGGCGATATCCCAGGTGGAGTAGACACAAACAGAAGTTGAACATTAATCTTTTATTATTATTTTATAGCTGTCGTATACATCTTAATTTCTTGACTGATGTGACCTGGGCACAATGTGTCTTACCAGTTGCTTTATGTGGTTTGGAACAATAAGAAAAAGAAGGAGCTGAAGACAGCTGAAAGTGGGGAAATCAATGTATTCATTCACAGAGGGGCATCTTAAAGGCCACCAAGTCCCCCCCGCCCCGCTCTGCGCTGGAGGCATTTCTACCCACTGCTTCTAGGCCTGCCCAACATTGCCAACTCTTTCAACCATTCCTCAAAGGACTCCTTTTCTAGGTTGCCCTCCTATGGACACTCTACAGGGTGTCAACATATTGTTAAAATATCCCTCTTGGGACACTGAAATAATGGGGGTGGGTCAATGTGAGTAGAGGTTGTGGGTGTGCACGTGCCTTCCCCAAGCCCTCCGCTCTTAACCTTCATGCGCTCCATGTCCACACGATCGGGAAACCTGTGCAATTCTGGTCCTCCCCTCTCAGCCCCCCTGGGCCCAGGACGGCCTGCAGAAGAGAATCCAGCTGCAACAGAGGGGCCCCCCCCTCTGCTTGCGCCTACCCTTCCCTACTTGAACTCTCTGCTTTTTCTTTTTTCTTTTTGTTCTTGTGTGTTATTGAACTGTATGTTCTTGTTTAAATAAAACATTTTAAAAGAAAATACACCTTGCCAAATTTGAAATTTCAATAGTGTTTTTGAAAGCTTATTTTCAGCATATATATGCACAAACACACCTTCCCTGTGCAGAAAAGATCCTGACTTCTCTTAAAGAAAACTTTTTGGGTTGCCACCAGGAGGTGCAATTGATACTTTTTTCCTGCAACACATCCTTGCTGGAATAGCCATTTTACCTCATTTGCTCAGATGCACTTGGTCCACGTGTTTTCTTTTTTAAAAAAAGAAACTAGTTTTAAATCAGTCCTTCTTTGCATCTTCTGAAAGTTAACAGTATTGCCTGTTTTGAGGGAGACACAGTTTTTCCTCATTTACCTCATTTTTCTCTTTCCAGCCTCTAATTTTGCCAAACTCCTTTTCCTGCCACACAGTCTGTATCCACATCCAGGGGCTAAATGTGCACACCATTTATGAAGCAGGGCTGGGGAACTGGAGCTGGTGAGACTGATCCTTACCTCTCCCACTCCTTGAGGGCCAATTGAATGGTGCTGAGCAGAGGCACCGAGTTCCACACAGAATTAGGAGGGCTCGTCAAATGTGCATGATGTCACACGTGTGACATACACGTGTGATGTCATGTGTGTCAGAAGGAGGCTGTGGGGCCTGACAAGGCCCTCTTCCACCATGGATTGGACCAGAGGGGCCTCTGCCACAGTGGGGAGGCCCAAATACCCCCATCTCAAACCAATATTCCCTCCTGTAGTCATTGCACTACATCAAGAAAAGCTTGTGTCTCAGCAGTGACTGTGGTGATCTGATATAATGAGAGTAAAGCCAGGGAAGCTTTATCACTTTGTGCCTGGGGAAGGGAGCATTCCTTGTTCACAGAGCCATCTTATGTCCCTGCACTTTGCAACTCCCTGCCTGTTAGCCTTAGGCAGGCATTTTCCTCCTGTTTTAGGTGCCTGCTGAAAACACCTTTATTTCAACAAGCCTTCTCAGACAAGTAATTTAGTTATGCATATTGTTTTGGGGGGGGCACACTGTAGAATGTCCATAGGAGGGGTCCCTTTACCTTTACCTTTTGAGAATCACTGTCTCCTGATCATTTTACATCCCACTGCAAGACAGTCAGTCTCGCTTTGCAGCTGCTGCACTGTGAGTAGAAGAAAATGTCAAGGGATCGCAGACCAGTCCACGCAGCTAACATATATAAAGGGATGAATGTTACCGCAGCAATGTAAAATGATCAGGAGACAGTGATTCTCAAAATTACTATGATGTAACTCATTAGAACAACATAAAGGTAAAGGTAAAGGGACCCCTGACCGTTAAGTCGAGTCACGAATGACTCTGGGGTTGCGGCGCAAATCTCGCTTTACTGGCCAAGGGAGCCGGCATTTGTCTGCAGACAGCTTCCAGGTCATGTGGCCAGCGTGACTAAGCCGCTTCTGGTGAAACCAGAGCAGCGCATGGAAACACCGTTTATCTTCCCACCGGATGGGTACCTATTTATCTACTTGCACTTTGACATGCTTTCGAACTGCTAGGTTGGCAGGAGCAGGGACCGAGCAATAGGAGCTCACCCATCACAGGGAATCGAACTGCCAGCCTTCCGATCAGCAAGCCCAAGAGGCTCAGTGGTTTAGACTACAGTGCCACCCGCATCCCAGCACAGCAACTGGGTGGTAGAAACATAAACAGCATAACAGTGCCCCCAGCTCCCAACTCCTCTAGACTGTTCAGAAGGAAATCATGGTCAATGGTATCAAAAGCCACTGAGAGATCCAGCAGGACCAGGAAACAGCTTTCACCTCTGTCCCTAGCCCGCCAGAGATCTTCGACCACAACAAATGCTTGGAAATAGAATGCAGGATGATGCCTTTCTCTTTTCCCACTCAGGGAATCACATTATATGGACAGGTGCCAATGCTGTGAAGGCCACCACTGTCAAGAACAACTGATCATCAGCCACCACCACCAAAACCTGCTTGCAGGAAAGATGTCAACCCGTCACAGTATCTCCAGGATCAGTATACAGTAGAACCTTGTGTTACGGACGGGATCCGTTCCGGAGGCCTGTCCATAACACGGAACTGATGCAAGCCGAAGCACCACGGCAAAACCCGGAAGTAACCTGTTCCGGTACTTCTGGGTTGCCACGGGACGCAACACGAAAACATGTAACCTGAAGCGGACACAACATGAGGTTTACTAACTCAGACTAGAGCCCCTCCTCCCCACCCTCTCACCACAAGCCACTTTTGTATTCTACAGAAATACAAAGTAGACATAAGTGACTTGGAGTGACTGTGTGGGGGTGCCAAGCTAGCCAGCAGCCCCACTGAGGAGACAGAGGTAGCACCATCAGAAGAGCACCATTACACACCACTGTGCACCAAAGGCCAGCACCACCCACTAAGGAATGCTCCATAATGAAGCATTCACTGTTTCTCTCTTTTGTGAACATGATGAGGAGGGACTGCAGAAAAAAGCAAGCATCTCCTGCCAGTGCAGAAAGGAGGCCTAAGAGAAGTAGAAGCACAACAACCTGGTCTCACAATCCTGGGAGCTCCAGCATCCTTGATGACCAGCCATGCTAGCGGGGGCTAATGGGAGTTCCAGTCTAACAACAACTACAGGGTACCAGGTTGGGAAAGACTGAGTGAGCCTATTTTCTTAAATTTTTTTTAGCTGGTAGTAATTCAGTGAAGAAATCAAAGAAATAGTCACTGTAATTCTAGAAGATCAGACAAAAGTTTTGCATTGTGGGGAGCAGTATTGCATTCACATTGGGATGGTAGATTGTTTTTTAAAGGCACTTAAAGGCACGATCTCTACTCCCCCAATTAACATCTTCGAATAATTCAGAAAAAAGCCCAAGTTGATACAACAAAAGTTTAAACAGAGTGAATGCTCAAATATTTTTTTTGAAATGGATAGCTCTGAACTCTACACCACTCCTTTTTAAAAGGTTTCTGTTTCAGGGACCTCAGTTTCTGTTGTCTTCCAAGTGTGCTGCTGTATCTGAAGTTTCTTATTTATTTTCTTCTTCCAAAGACTAATCTGTCAAAAGACTTGAGTAATGCAGTAGTACTTAGGAGTTAATGATTTTTCAAAAACAAAAAATGCAAGTGTTTGTTTCTAAATTTGCATAGACGGGGTATTTCCAAGGTATTTCTCAGACTGAAGAATGTCTACCCAGATGCTTAGAAAGTTGAGGTAATTTTAATATGCTTTAGTATTTTAACTTCTATATCCTCAAGATATGTTTGGGATTTTTTTGTAGATTTTCTTGTTTTATCTTTTTGTAGTTTTTTACAATCAAACGGTGTATAAAGTTTATGAAACAAATAAATAAGAGGGGTGTCTTTTATTTATGAGATTTCTGCCCTTTACCAGGGTAGGTTACACCAAATTATATATATATATATATATATATATATATATATATATATATGAGATTATAAAACAAATGAAGCAGTTGCCACCATAAAACAAGACAAATTAAAAACAGTTCCATATATAAAATAATACAAAAATTAAAAACAATTCAATATATAAAAACAGTTCAAAATAGTTCCACTACAGAATCAAAATGGGATAAAGATCTTCCTTTAAGAGGCTTGTTGTAGGAGGATGATCTTCTGCATTTGTCAAAAAGACAACAAAAACAGTACCTGATATGTGATGGGAGAGTATACCAAAAGGTTGCTGCCATAACGCTAAAGGCCCGATTCCTATATTATACAGAGCAAACCTCCTGAAAGGATGTTGTCTACTGCACAGCACAGGAATCAATGTGGTATACAAGGGAGGCATATACAGTACCTTCTCCATTATATGCATGATAATGAAAAAGCAACATATGGTCCCAACCCCCTTAGAACTATTTTCCTGGAGTATAGGTGCAGTCCTATATTACACCAGGTCATCAGCTGAGGGGCATTAGAATGAGGTGGGAGGCTCTTGGCATCAGCAGAAGTGAGGAGCCACCAGCAACATACCCAAGAAAATGTCTGTGAGCACTGCAGGATGGCTCAACCAGCTAAGCCTCTCTGCTCCACCTAAAAATGGGTTGGATTTGTAGGCAGAGTCTAGTGTGGTTCACAGGGGAGAAACACACCTATGCTGGTTCCTAACCCCCTCTTGTTGCGCAAGCATGCCTGCAAACAACAGAACTATACACCAAGACAGGAGCTGGCACAATTACTGCACCACCACCACCACCATTGACTAGTGGGACTTCTACCTGAAATAGCATCTCCACCCCCATCGTTCTGGTCCAGCTCGAAGGACCTTCTGGAGCTTCTCTCACTGTGAGAAGTGAACCAGGGAACCAGGCAGAGGGCCTTCTCAGTGATGGCTCCCTCCCATCAGATGACAAGGAGATAAAGAACTATACAGCTTTTAGAAGGCATCTGAAGGCAGCTTTGTATAGGGAACTTTTTAATGTTCAATGTTTAATTATGTTTTTATATATGTTGGAAGTCGCCCAGAGTGGCTGGGGCAACCTAGTCAGATGGGCGGAGTACAAATAATAAAATTATGATGATGATTATTACTTACCCATCCTGCCACATTTTCCTGGCATTTCTCCCTCCCAAGTCTGGGATGGTTTGGAAATTGCAGCGCTCGTACCACTAGGCCAGGGGCACAGCAAAACCTACAGGTACTGATACACAAGTCTGCTCATCCCATTTGCCAATCCAGATTTTTTATTTTATTTTATTTTATTTAAAGATTGAGTGACAGCTTTAAACAGCCTGAGATGAATTCTAGTAAGAAATCTTCATTTTGGATTGTTAGTCATGGCATTTGTTTATTTTTTTAAAATTTTAAGTATATGTTTAACAGTGGGAAGAAAACAATAAATCTTTTTGAAAAAAACACCACCTTCCTACTTTTTAAAACTTATAGAAATATGTAGGTTTGGATCCAAAGGTATCCCTCTACACTTACAATACATCTTGGGATTCAAGCCATAGTTTTTTAAAAAATATTATTATTATTATTATTATCATCATCATCATCATCATCATCATCATTTTATTAAAATAATAAGAATTGTATATTTGTAATTCCATGAAGTAAAATATAAATTAAAAGTGTAAAACTGCAATTGAAATATTTTAAAGCATTTAGCTTGGTTCCTTTCTATAAATACTTCCCTGCAAAAATATAGAAATGTGATTTATATTCTAGAAAGTATAGAAAAATATAATTCCTTTGGATTTAGGACAATTATAGCTGTGTTCCAAAAATCATATCAGGAAATATGTTACTTTGAAATCAGGGGTAGAATTTGGACGCAACAATTAAAGAACTTTCTCATCATATTCTTTCAGCATTCTGATAGGAAGCAGGCAGAGAGGAGAGGGAAGGTGAGAGGAAAGCTCTGACTCCTAAGTCCAAAGAATGGGAATTACATATATTCTAAAAAGAGATGCATTTGAACAGGGCTGTCTTTAGCATATGTGGCACCGGGGTGCAAAGATTCACTTAGAGCCCCCAAATTTAGTTTAGCTGCCCCCAAATTAACTTTTATTGAGTTTTTTGGGGGAGGGGGGAAGCCATGGCAGAGACGCAAAGCAAGGGAGGGCGGCTGCAGCCGCCGCTGCCTTTTTTGCCACAGGTTCCTGCTGGGTGCTGAAGTCCCATCCCATAGTTGGGCTTGGCAGGCACAGCCATGGCGGCCTCAGGCGGATGGGCCTCGCCACCTCCATCCTCACGTGGCAGGAACAAGCCAGGGAGGAGGCAGCCCCAGCACCCGCTTTTGCCTCAGCACCGCCTCACAAAAACGGCTCGGCTGGCCCTTCTCCTTTGTCCTGCTGGTTATTAAGCCACCCGCCCTGCGGCCCCTTTGGGGGAGGTGAAGGAGGACCCACCTCTCGCTCACCCAGGCCCAGGGATCGAAGCGGCGTTGGTGGGCTTGTTGCCCGGCGCGAGTGGTCCTCCTTTTGGCAGCTCTTTTCCTCAGGTTTCTCAGCACTTCAATCCCCCCACTTTTTAATACAGTATACAAATCACACAACACAAGGCCACCTGCAAATAAATGGTGTCGTTCATGACACTTCAGAGGAAATGAGATTAAACTACGGTCAGATTAGCAATGAGGAAAGGGAAAAAATGCAAGGTTTAAAACCTGTAACAACGACGCAGCGGAAAAAAACCCTGCTTTTGTTTCCTGACTCGTTGGGAATATTTGATGCTACGGAGTAACAGAACTATGGCAGGGGGTGGGGACTTTCGCTCCATTGCTTTTCACTGCTGCCAATCGAGAGGGAACAGTATACAGTAGGTATGCATTTGGTGCCCCCCTGAATTTGGCGACCGGGTGCCCCGCACCCCTTGCACCCCCAGGTAAAGACGGCCCGGCATTTGAAGCTTTAGCTAGACAATCGGTAGCCATTATAGAAAAACATATTCCAGTTAAATGTTCATCAATTACACACACACACACCAATGTCCAATGTAATATGGCATTGTACAGTGCTTTTTTATTTTAAAAAAAATGTTTAGAGGTACTCTTATTTTCCTACTCCTATTGAAATACTGCCCCTCAATGAGGCCAAACATAGATTCACAAAATGTTTAGGGGTATGCGTACCTCCGTACCCCCCCCCCGAAAAAGCACTGGCATTATATATTTGTTCCAAGTTAAGGTGATATATCACATTTGACCAATATTGCTAATATGTGCTACCTGCACACATTACCTTGGTTATCCAAGAGAGGGAACTGACAGTGCATTCCTTAATACCTTCCGCCTGTCTGTCTTGCCTGTCACTGCAAAGTGGTCAAGGGCAAAATGTGTTTTTCTTTCCAGTTAACATTTGTCCAGCACTCTGCAGCCTCCCTGGTTGCCCACACTTACTGATCTGGAAATGCGTCATGAGTTTTGGTTGAAGCTAGGGAGGCTGAAAATTGCAGACCACTAATGAGATGGTTTGTAGTATATAATAATGGATATTCACAAAAACCCCTCTTGCACCTCAAAAGTAAAGTAAGCACATTTTTTAAAAGGATGCACTCAGCCCCATCTACCACTCCTAATAATCTCTGAAAGACACACACACAAATCAGATCAAATTTCTGAAAAAGAAAATTGAATGAGTAAATAGTTGAGGACAGCCTTATACAGAATCAACAACAGCCCATTCAGGTCACTATTACCTACACTGGCTGACAACACCTCTCCAGGGTTTCTGATGAACATTCCCAACTCTACCCGGAGATACTGAGGACTGAAGCTGGGATTCTCTGCATGCAAAGCAGATCACTCTCTTTGGCACATCATTGAACTCAGTAAATTATATTTTACCTTGCAGAACTGCTTGTAAAGTCCTGCCATCTAGATAAATCCTAACATCTTGCCATCAGCAATTCTGCAAGGAAGATTCTCCAAAAAATTCATAGTTAGAAATGCATAAAACAGGTCAAAACTATTGCACATGTTCTATTTAGCTGCCCATTTTACACAAAAATCCATGATAAACATTTAAACTCCATGCTGAAAAAAGGTTAAATTGTCCTGACCTCTGCAGGGTTTCCTTTCTACTCAACAGTCAGAGAATGAAGCAAAATTTATGAGAGATGCCATGAAACTATGTCACCATGAGACTTGAGAGGCATTTTTTAACCTTATTATGTCTGTATTAGCTTTATCTTAAAGTAACTCCTTTTAGGAACAGATGCCAGTTTTATGTTCTGATTTATATACTTTTGTATCTTCTGTATGCCAATAAAGGTGATTGATTGATTGATTGATAAATTGTGTTCGGCAGAAGCAGTGCTGAAGGTGGGTCAGAGCTTCTCATTTGCCTTCCCAGCAAGTGGATGGCTATTGTTTACTGTGAGACAGAAAGGGAAAGGTGGTGAGGAGGTCAGAATGGTGAAAAGTCACTAGTAGAGCCAGTTGACCTCCTTCTAAGCAACAGCAACACGCTGGCCAGAAAGCAAGCATACCAGTTTCACCCCACAATCCGCTTCTGGTGCGCAGAATCATATTCTCACTGTTATAATCATATTCTGGTAATCATATTCTCACTGTTAATATAAATGTAAGGTAAAGGTAAAAGGTAAAGGACCCCTGGACAGTTAAGTCCAGTCCAAGGCAACTATGGGGTTGCAGCGCTCATCTCACTTTCAGGCCAAGGGAGCAGCACTTGTCCACAGACCGCTTTCTGGGTCATGTGGCCAGCAGGACTACACCTCTTCTGGTGCAACTGAACACGATGACGGAAGCGAGAACGCACGGAAACACTGTTTACCTTCCTGTCAGAGCAGTACCTGTTTATCTACTTGCACTGGCATGCTTTTGAACTGCTAGGTTGGCAGGAGCAGGGACCAAGCAACAGGAACTCACCACGTCGCAGGGATTCGAACCACTGACCTACTGTTCAGCAAGCCCAAGAGGCTCAGTCGTTTAGACCACAGCACCACCCGCATCCGCAAAATGTAGCTCTTATTTGGATGAACCAAGGACTATAAAAGCATTTTATCATCAATGTATAACAGGTAATGAATCAAATTTATGACCTGGTAAATTTAGACCACAGCCAAAGAAGTGATAGGTGTTTGCTTTGGGCTCCATATCCAGAAGGTGGCTGCATGACTCGGAAAACTGTCTGTGGACAAACGCCGGCTCCCTCGGCCTGAAAGCAGAGATGAGTCACCTTTGACTGGACTTAACTGTCCAGGGTCCTTTACCCTTTTTACCTATTTTCAGGGGGGAGGATCTGGACAAACAAAGTTATTGAGCTTTTTTCAGTGATCACCCACTTGCCCCCACCCCCGACTAGCTGCTGCTACCACCAAGAGCCACCTGCACCAGAGCCTGAGCTGCCCACGTACACACACTTTTTAACCCCCCCAAAAAAACCTGGACATTTGCTTACAATTGTAAAATTCCCCTGGAAGGGCATGTAGGCCCCCCCAAAAGAGAATATGTCTGGGATTTCCCAGACATTTAGCAACCCTGTGTTTGCTATTTCTGTCACACTTGTTTCCACTGCAGAAAAAACAGGCTGATCTTGCATTTAAATAGCAGCTTGTTTCTTGGGTGTTGTGAGCTATTGTGTCAAGGGAAGGTTCTGGCTTCCCACGGAAATCTCCCTCACATGAACCTAGCAGCCATTTTTCATGGTTAACAAATCATTCCCTTGTAAATATAAAATGTTGGTATCTGTAGGAGTAAATATCACATTATTACTTTGCTTTGTGTCTTCTAGTTTGTTCACTTCCAATAACAGCTGTTATCGTGTAGAGCAGGGGAGAGAAGGAATTCAAAATATAATCAAACAGCTTTTCATTTCATATTTTTTCAGGGGCATCAAAACAGGAGTTTTGATCAACCCAAAAGTTCACATCGCACAGTGAACACACCAAGGTGGTGAATCTTTTGATGTCCCTCAAATGTTTGCTAATATAACTGGCATCTCTCCTCCAGGATCACATACAACATTTTGGAAGGAGAGCCCAGCATACGGAGGAGTGCTCAGGATACAGTGCACAGCTCTCAGAGCTGGGTGAAGACATGTGGTGGCCCTAAGCTATCCCAAGTTTAAGAAGCCCCATAGTATGACCAAAAATGTATATTATTCTTACTGAAATGACAAAAAAAGAGAAATAGAAATATTTGCATACACAGTCAAGGGTGCACCTAAAAACTAGTGTACTCAGTAGGAAAAACATGAGACTTTTAATCTCAGGGTTGTGGGTTCGAGCCGCATATTGGTAAAAGATTCCTGCACTGCAGGGGTTGGACTAGATGACCCTTGCGTTCCCTTCCAACTCTACGATTATAATGTAAAACTTGAAACTTCATCTTTTTTGTATGAGGAGGCAACTCATAATCTGAAACCCTAAATTGTAGTTTACATAAATTGTGTGTAAATCTGACACTGATTGCTTGCCATGACACTTGTAATCATTTATTTCCCCCTTTTCCACATTCCTACAGCATGTAATACTAAAATGTAAGAACTGGTGTTTTTGGCGGGGAGAGGGGGTCCATTGTTTCATAATTCAAGGAATTTAATAAATGCATTTGGTGCACAAATCTGAATTGGTTAACATGGGCAGTTAGCACAGATTAAGGCTGCAAATCTATACATTCCTGGAAGTTAATGAGACTTCTTTCCTAAAAGGCATAAATACGTAATTGTGCTGTAAGCCTACATTCCTAGTCACATATACATTGGATAGTCATTTTGCTATCATTGATAACTTCTAACACACGGCACCTAGGAAACACTCACTTACCAAGGAGTAAACAAAACACATTAAAATTGCTGGCATTTACTTTGAGTAGATTGGCCTACTTGCTCTGTCAATGAAAATGATTATGGTTATGACTTTGAGTTAACCAGAAGGAATTTTCCTTAAGGACACATTTTCCTTTTAGTCACGATGAGAATTAGTTTTATGGGTTGCTAAGTTGTTACAGCATTTTTTCCTTGTCGTTACTAGTTATCATGTATTTTCATTTCCTAAAAGAAACAAATCTATATGATGTCTACGGACCTTCCCAACTCTACAGTTCTATGATTCTACAATTCTAAATCAGTATCATGTAGCGCTATAAAATTATTTTGCAGTTCTGAGTACTATGAGAGAATAACAACTTTTTAAATCAACCACCCCTTGGGAAGATTGAGGATAATGTTGAGGAGTTTCATTTGTGTAAAAGCCATTTTATTCTAGTCTGAGGGGAGAGGGAGATTTAACATGTTCCTAAATTGTATTTATCTGCTTTTGGGTACCAAAATCAAAGGTTAAGTTATGTGCACTTAAACTCAAACTGTTTGGGGCTTGCCTAACATTCTCCACATCAGTTTG